ACAGTTTCTAAAGTAATCAAAATTTAGCCACTTTTCATGTAAAGATAAATCTGAAACACTGTTCAAAATCCGAAAATATTCCACCATAATATACTGGAGTTCCGGTATAATATACCGGACTTCCGGCATAATATACTGAACCTCCAGCATAATATGCTAGAAGTTCATACACAGGTCCTCCAATCTCCGGTATATTGCTGGAACTTTCCGTATGTTGGAGTTCCAGCATAATATGTTGGAAGTTCATACACAGGTGCATCAATCTCCAGTATATTATACTGGAACTTTCTGTGTTGCAGCAAAATAATGACTATTTTTCAATTACCAGTCCAAAAACTGGCTAGCCCATGCTATTTTCACAATTTTAAAGCTTTTAAGGATTTGTTCCGTTAACTATCAAAATTTTATACTTTGATGCGATATTCTTAATTGTTCTTTCATATATTCTTCCACTACTAATAGTATAATAAATTTTAAACATTGTATTCCATCAAAGAGTATCATATATTATGAGGAAGAAATAATTGTTTCATTGAAAATTTGATAATAGGTGAATTTGACTATAATCACACCTTAATTAATCACCTTCTTGTGTAGTTTTAATGCTAAAAGTGATAACAAAATGCTCTTATTAGTGTTTTTCATGATTTGCAGGTGATATATGTATAAGGAAGGCTAAGGAGCAGTTTTGGAGTCAAAATTGATGAAAAAGAGGCCAACTGTGAAATTTCCCAAGTGAACCATGCAAAACAGGCCGAAGATTCAGAGCACTGGGTCCACCGCGGTTCTACCGCGATCGCGGCAGAACCGCGGTGGAAAGCAGCTGCAGAACTTCAGGGATTCCGCGAGGGTGTTTGGCCGCGGTTCTACCGCGACCGCGGCAGGCGCGAAAACTTCAGGGGTCAAAGTGTCAAATACGGGATTTTTAGACCTAAACCCTATTTAAAACATTAGACTTCGCCCAAGAGAGGCATGTATGGATTTTTAAGGTTTCTTAGCAAGGAAAATCATTGTGAGAGAATACTCCAACCATCTTTCTTCTTTTCTTTTGATTTTTATGATGAATTCAATCTTAGTTTATTTTCCATAGCCATGAGTAGCTAAATTCCTTGTCTAAGGTTTTGATGGAACCTATTGGGTGATGAACTTCTTGTTTATGTGAATACAAATTGCTAGTTTAATCTCTATTTGTTCAACTTCGTGTTCGTTGTAGTTAATTGACAGGATCCTCAATTAGCTGTGCCTATTTAGTGTGCATAACTTGGAAAAGAGTGCATATTTAGGGTATTGTTGAACAACACCACTCCTAGATTATTAGAGGAATCTATAATTGCGGGTTTAAAGGCGGTATTAGGGATAACGAAGCCTTGAGTGTAATTTAAAGTGAATCGTGCTAAATAAAGTAAGCTAGTGTATCTCGGGAGAGTGCAATAGTAAATTACTGTGATTACTCGGGAGAGATTTGCGGTAAGATTAGCGTTCATGATTGATAGAGAGGTGTTGGTAAATTTGTATGAGCATAAACAGAAGGGATTCCATCAATAGGGGAAATCATTGCCTTAGCTTTTCCTCATAATTGTTTACAACCTCATTAGTTTAGTTTACAGCTATTTAGTTACTTGCAAGCTAGTCGTTAAAGAACACTCAACTGAGATTTGAACATTTGGGAAGCTGGTTCTGAAGAATTAGTGGGTCTGAAGATAGCGGTTGATAGGTTAACTCTCTGTGGATTCGACCCTGGGCGTAATACTCGGGTTATATTTGCAACGTCCGCAGAATCCTTTTTCTAAGGTATAGTTGGGCGTGATCAAAATTTCACTTCATCATGTCTTCGATGTGATTCCTTCTTCATAACTAAATTTTAAAAAAGTTAGGGAATAATTAAGAAGAATCACTTCATAACAGTCTTAACAAATTGTGTAGGGAATTAGTAATCTTTTTCTCTTAGTTAATCTAATGCTTTTTTCTTGAGATATGGATGATGATGGTGCACAAAAAAGACAATGAAAAATTTAAACGGGGAACATTGTAAGTCAACTTTTTGTCCGAAAGTACTCTTTGTGAGAATTATTTTAAAGGATCTCTCTCTTTTCAATCCATGCATATCCATATATATAATAAAATCAACTACTAGTAACAGTATTCTCCTTCCATTTCAGCTTGTGCAACCCTATTTTTTCTTTACCTTCGTCGCAAAAAGAGTGACCTCTTTCTAAGTATGAAAACAATTATTATTACCGCAATAAGAACGACAGATAAATTATGTAGCTAAACAAAAAAATTGGTTACTAATTCTATTTAGCAACATATTATTAAAAAAATTGTTACCTACAAGTGATTTAATGACGATATTCGTAGCTAATTTCAGTTTTTTTTAGTAAATACTTTATATTCATTTTACGCTTAATAATAATAATATTTTATAGCCGTACAAATATTATGATATATATTAACACCACAAGTTTTAAAAATTTTATAGCTATACAAATATTATAGTATATTTATACCATATATAAGAAGGAGAGCCTTGGCGTAACTGGTAAAGTTGCTGCCATGTGACCAGGAGGTCACGAGTTCGAGCCGTGGAAACAGTCTCGTGCAGAAATGCATGTTAAGGCTACGTACAATTTGTGGTTCAGCCCTTCACCGGACCGCGCATAGCAAGAGCTCAGTACATCGGGCTACCCTCATTTATAGCATATTTAAGACAATAAAATTTTAACTTTTTAATTATTTTCTAAACATAATTGGTCAAATATATTCACATAAATAGAATTAAAGAGAGTAACAATTATAGTAGCTCTCTTTATTATGATGTCACATGTGTTGATCATAATCATCACCATTCATCATTAAGAGCAGCAACAAGTCAAACCTAATCTAGTAATCTATGCACCTTGTGGGGTCATTTTGCCAAACATCATGTCCCAAAATGTTCACTATGGATACATACTTGAAATTTGCAAAGGCATCCTTATAACTTTACATATTACTCTTTTCATGACCTCTTATAATTTTTTTTTCTCGTTCAACAGGTTTTCAAATACACCCCTTTAGTTTTCTAATGTTGCATATTACTCGTTTTAAATGCTAATATAACTGATCTTTCAATTGTTTCCTCAGAAAAATTGGAATAATACAGAAAGAAATCTTTTAACTAAGGTTAAGTAGTTCATTTCAATAGTTTGAATTCTCACATAAAAAGTACATATGATTAATAATTAAAAAATCCCTTCTATGTTATATTGCTGGAATGGTTTGGAAAGGTTGAAACTATATATTAACAATGTAAAAATAGCACGGGCTAGCCAGTTTTTGGACTGGTCATTCAAAAATAGCCAGCCAGGGGTGGCCCTTCCATAAAGCAAGTAAAGCAACCGCTTTAGGCCCCATATTTGTGGAGGCCCCATTTTTTGTTACATCTAATAGACTATGTATAAGTTTTAAAAGTTCTGTAAAGTGAAAAGGTTTGATTTCTTTCTTTAACAAATATAGAGAAGAAGGATTTGCAACTGCTATGATTTTTACTAAGGAAGTTGCACTTGAAATGAATATCGAACCCGAATTTCGTAAGAAATGTGTGATATATAGGAAGTAACAATTTGATGCTAATGTTGATAATGAAATCTCAAAATCTTTTGAAGAGTCCTTTAGAGTTGATTACTTTTATACATAATAGACAAGGCTTTCTTTTTCACTTCAAAATAGATTTGAACGATTCAAAGCATATGAAAATATTTTTGGTTTTCTATTTGGCGGTAAAAACTAATATCATTAGATGTTGGAAATTTGAAAAAATATTGCCTTAATCTTGAATGTTCCTTAAAGCATAATAATCAATTCGATATTGATGGTTTAAATTTATTTTCTGAATTAAAAGTATTAAGAAAAATAGTACAATTAGAAGATAATAGTTTAATTGATACATTTAATCAAATAAAAAGATTTAATTCTTTTTCAAGTGCCTAAATTTCTTATGGAATAATGTTAATAACTCATGTTACCATTGCTTCATCTGAAAGAAGTTTTCAAAATTAAAATTGATAAAATCTTACCTAAGAACAACAATGTCACAAGAAAGATTAAATGGATTAGCTATATTGTCAATTGAAAAATATTTATTAGGAGTTATTGATTTTAAGAAAATCATTAACAACTTTGTATCTAAGAAAAGCTAAAAAATAGACTTCAAATAAATAAAATAAAATAAAAATTAAAAAGTTAAGGCCCCTCATAAAGTTTGGCTCTAGGCCACAAAATTCGTTGGGCCGCCCCTATAGCCAGCGTATGCAAAGTCGTTGAAAAATAGCCACTATTTTGCTGCAACACGGAAAGTTCCAGCATAATATACTGGAGATCGGTGCACCTGTGTATGAACTTCCAGCATATTATGCTGGAACTCCAACACGCGAAAAGTTCCAGTATAATATACAGGAGATTGGAGCACCGGTGCTCCAATCTCCAGTATATTATGCTGGACCAGTATATTATACTGGAACTCCAGTATAATTATACTGGAGTATTTTTCCGGATTTTGAACAGTGTTTTTGTTTAGATTTATCTTTACATGAAAAGTGGCTAAATTTCAATTACTTTTAAAACTGTAGCTATTTTTAAATGACCACTTATCAGGCTATTTTTGAATTTCTCCCATTGACAATAGACCTGCGACCCTCAATAAGCAAGCTTATGGTAGTATTTCATATTATTTCCTTTTTTTTCCTATGTTAACAGTTTAACTTTCTGAGTTGAGATAATATTGTTATTTTAAGATGCGAAGTAACGTCCTCCTTTTTAAGGATGTTGTATCAGACATGGCTTTTTAGTTGAGAGTATTCTCATACATTTTTTTTCTCAGCAATTTTGTAGATAAACTCATATGTTTAGATGATGATGAATGCCTACCTTGACTCGTTCTTTAAATTTTACTCTACTTGTTCAACATTTTAAAGAGAAAATCAACTTACTAGTTGTTTCACTTCCACTCAATGCCAAAAGCATGACAAAATAAGGTACTATAAGGGAGTTAACCCAATCAACAGTTTGATAAATTGCCAATGTAGATTTTCCCTATTTGTCCTTTTTTTCGTTCTCATGTCTAATCCCAAATCTACCTCAATGCTAATGTAATTCAACATCAAAATATTACATAGCAAGTATCTAGGTGAAACTACACAACAGGTCTTTCTGGGCAAAACGAATTCGAGTTCAAAATTCATGTAATATCCCATGATATAGAAAAACGAATAATCTGAATTACTCCCTCGTAGTGATATCAGCTCTAATCCGACTGAACAAACAATTGGAAGTTAAGATTAGACAGCCAAGGGATCCTGCAGAGCATGCCAAGCCACGACGTCTTTGTATGCCAAGTTACCTCCAAAAATATCCAAAGCACTGCCCACAGTTACATCCACACGCCCCATCCCTGCAAGTTTGATCTTCTCCAGATCAGCCATCACAGTGACACCACCGGCATATGTTACAGGAATCTGAGAGCCACGTGAAGATAAAATTTGGTCACTTCATCTGGAATACGAGGGCAACGAAATCAAAGAATATATAGACTAGTGGAGAACCTCTATGTAGTTGTTTATTTAGGGTGATTGATCTACATCTTTCCCCTTAACCCTGGGGCTATGTCTCGGATATAAGCGACTAGCTCCTATGTGGATTCCCCTTTATCTAATGCCACGCCTTGCGACAAAAGGGGAGTCCCTGGGTCACAAAGTCAAAGACTTCTTTTTTTTTTTTTTGGGAGGGGGGGGGGGGGGCAGGGCACCGGCAAAGAACTCAATTCTTCTCCGATAACCTGGTCATTGACTAAACTCCCTTAAAGCTTAAAAGTAGATCACTGCTCATTCAGCGTTCAATATCTTAAAAAAGGGGGAACAGAAAAACATGAATGCTCGCAGAGAAGCATTTTGTCCCTACAAGCATTGCCTGATGGAATCTATTTATAATGCTCCCCAGAATAGCAGAATGAGAAGCCACAATAGTGAAAAAACTAGTTAATAAAGCAGTCAATAATATAAACTGCACTTACGGGGGAATACTTTCCAAGCAATGCCACGAGCTCCTCATCTATTCCCAGCCTGTGTTACACAAGAAACACGTCAAATTTTTTAATTCGCAGATAATTTACGAACCATATGTCCGATTAAAATGATGAACACGGATATCCAAATAATATTTCTCTTTAACAACTATTCTCACATCCCACTTGTGAGACTACACTGGTTATACACTGGTTATGTTGTTGTTGTAACCACTATCTCTCACGAGTAGCTTCGCATTCTAGTACTATATTTTGAGAATGCTGCAGAAGAAATACATGCACCAATATAAGATCTTTCATTTTCAGACAACAGTCAATGGACCTTTGCTCAATCAGGCAGATTCAAGATAGTTATGGGAAATTCCTCATTATTAAACTAGTTAATGATACAAGCTAATAAAAAGTGTAAAAACTCAAAGCAGATCAGGAAAATAGAAAAACTTAGGTCAGACCTCAGCCAATTATAGAGCCATTTGTGGTGGTGAAAGTCGAAATAGTAGTGAAAACGAGGGGAACTCGCACGAAGGGCAGTGATTTAACTATAAGAGAAAGTTCTAATGATCTCGAGGTAACTCAAAAATACAGGCATTTGTGGGTTCAATGCGAAAATTGTTATGGATTAAATTATAAGAAATTTTTGAAATCAAAAATGAACATTTGAGAACTATGTGGATATCATTTGAAAATGAGTAGTTCAAATAGAATTGAACTTTTGAACAATGTGGATATCGCAGCTTTCATTCTTTTTCTTTTTCATTTTTCACAAGACATTGGGACAGTTATTGGCCTAACGACCTAGTTGTCTATGTCATTGGTATGAGGCATATTTCAAACATCAAAGAGTCTTTCATTAAACGATTGCGTCAACTGCTATTGCAGCTCTATAATGACGGTACATAGAAAAGTACTGGGACTTACTTTTTGCCTTCAACATCAACTCCATGGACCAGAAATTCATCAGCATAGTCTGCAAGAAAATTCAGAACTTTCTCATTGAGACGTACATCAGTAAACTTCTGCCATCTGTCTGTGACAATTACATATTCGCCATCCTGCATGTTCTTTCAAGTCATTGGATCTATCATAGCAGAAAGAAAGGAGAGCAGTAACTGAGTCTAGTTTTACAAATTTAATCATCTATAGCCCTGAGCCAGTCCCAGACAAGAATCTCCTCTACATTAATATGAAGAACTCTGTCTTTCTAGGAGCCACAAAAAAATGGATACCTTTTTATCTTTTATTGTTTATCAAAGATAAATTTCATTTAAAAAGTGAATACCTTTTTACGGCAACTAAGATCCAGAACAAGCCTCTTTTTTCCAACGAGAGAAGCAAGTTCCTTAAGCCTCTCAAGGTCCATTTGCCCATTGTTAAAGACATACTGCAAAATAGACAATAAGTATCAGATAGAGAGGATCTAGTAATATAAAAATATTGAGAGGGCTTCCAAAGCAAATCATCTGTCATTTGGAAAACAATAGAAACATAACCAATCACAATTTAGGACTATTTTCATTTTCTGTATAAAAAAATGAGGCATGTCGTAAAATTTTTACAGAAAACATTGGGAGAAGAACCCAATTCTTTTGCTAACTTTAATGCCTATTCTGAAGCCTTCAGTTCATCTTGAAAGCTCTGAATCTTTTTGTTGTTTCCAGCACCTTGCAGCACCAGTTAAGATCTATTTGTTTCTGAGCATGTCTTTGGGAATTTTATCTAGCTTGTTCGTAGGCAACACGTTTTGCATACAACAACACTTCTTCTATGCTGTTCAAATTGTTGTCTCGTCGACTAGTTGCTTGGTTTATTTAATTAAGTACTTCTATTAAGAAACTGTAATCATGCCTCAATATCAAGCAGAAATTTTTTTATGCAACTCTTAGCCATATTCCCATGTTTCCTACCCAGCTTATAACTTTCTCTCTTTTACTTCTACAACTATGCACTGTTCAAACAGTATTCTGCAGGCTAAACCGCCTTTGAAGTGTATTGACGTGTCATTAAATTCATTATTAGCTCTTCCCTCAATTAGATTGCTTTCATCCAATAGAAATGATTAATCTTAGATCCCTAGTAAGCTTAATATTTTAGAGCTGAAGACGAGATCCTGCAGCATTTTTTATCTACTTTAAGTGCATATACTCATGCTGATTCAGATTAGGATAGAGTCCACTCACTCTTTCACCTCCCACCAACGCCCACCAGCAAACTGAGAGAAGGGTGGACTTTTTAGTTAATACTATATGATAAAGATCAGAAAGATGGGAAAGGATTGGAAGCTTAACTTTCCTTGTGAAGGCAATGGTTCAACTTAAAACTTGTTGCTCCCCTTGCCAGCCCATGATTGTTGTACACAAAAAGTTTAAAAATATAAGGAGGGAGGAATCAATTTAAACTATGAGTGTATAGCAGGTGCTTTAGCTGCTTCTATTCACGTGAAATGAGCAATCAATCAATGACAAAGCTATATGAATACTATCTTTCCACTTTATCTAGGTCCTATTTGTCTTTAAGGCAAATTTGGGGTTTCAACACTAGTACAAAATCATATAAAGAGGTATTGTGCATTCAAATCTGTTAATCCCACCCAAATTTTAATGATCTAGAATATCTGCACGGAGAGAGAATTTAGTTAGGGTCTCTTATGTAAATCCTGGGTAACCATTACACTCTATTCACGTCCAATACATTCCAACTATGTTGCGCGGACTTTCCAAAATGTTGTCGTACCCGTGTTGGATCCTCCAAAAATGCACTACTTTTGGAGGATCTGACACGTATCCGGCAACATTTTCGGAGAATCCGAGCAACATAGCATTCCAATACTAAATACTTTGCCTTTTAAGATAAAAGAAGATCGACAGTGAGATATTTTCAGAAATCCTAACATGAGAAATATGACACAAAAAGTTGCTTCTTTACAAGAAATTAATCATGAATACATACCGAGGTGACAATGACATGGCTGGCTCCTTCTTCAATATAACTCAAAGCATTTTCAGTTCTGATTCCCCCTCCAACTTGCAACCCACCTAGATGTTTTCACCCTCGAAGGATATCACCAGAGGAAAAATCTGTAAGTCGAGATGTAGTATCAAACCTATATACACTTTAGTATAACACCGAGTACCTGTAATATATATTTGTAGTAAACAGTTTCAAATAAAGTTATACTAAAAGTGGCCAACAGCTTAAAGATCACATGCAGTTACTAAGTACATAGACAACCAAGTAAAAATGATTTAGACCTTTTTTCCCTTTCCAATTCGATTTTATCTTCAGTTTACACTAACATGTAGCAACCAACATTACAATCTCTAAAAGCAATATGAAACCAGCTTCAGCCCCTATCTATTGCTGACATTTCTATTAACTAATAATAATAAATAGTTCTAAAAAGTTCTCGTGTTTTACTAGTTTAATGCAATAACTCTGGCTAATCTTTCGACATCTATGGGCATATATTAGTTTCATAAATACTGGGAATTATGTCAAATAATAAGACAAACATCTATGTATGAGAGTGATACTCATCTATGGCACTTTGTTATATCTAAGTGTGACAAAACATCTAGCTCTATGTCAAACATCTAGTTCTAAGATTGAAATTTCTTATGCAGCTAATGTCATTGATTATTAGAAATTGGCCTCTATACCAAACTGTGAGAAATATCACGGCAGAATTATATTACTAATCTATAATTGTAATACAATGAGCCCTATTTATAACTATACATAATACATATCCTACTCCTATTCAATATGAAACTCGGACTAATTACATATTAACTATACAATTATCTAACACTTCCCCTCAAGCTGGTGCATACAAATTATATATACCGAGCTTGTTGCTTATGTAATTAATACGAGAACCAGTGAGGGACTTGGTGAATCCATAAACGGACTCACAACACTCACAGGAAAGGAAATGTAAATTCTAGTCACTGTGAGGTAATTTAATTTACCAATCAGCCGCCTATATCTTCCGGGATCGCTGAGCGGCTCCCCAGTCCTGGCAGAAGTTTAGAATTCGGATCCATAGGAGTGTCAACAGGCCTACAACCTGTCTTTCCTGTTTCCCCGAGAATGTCTAAGGCATACTTCCGTTGTGAGATCACAATACCTGAGCTAGACTAAGCGACCTCAATACCTAGAAAAGACTTTAATCTGCCTAGATCCTTAGTCGGAAAGTGTTGAAAGAGCAGTTGCTTCAACTTAGTAATACCGTCCTGATCATTTCCGGTAATAACAATATCGTTAACATAAACCACCAGATAAATACAGAGATTTGAAGCAGAATGCCGATAAAACACAGAGTGATCAGCTTAACTGAGTCATGCCAAACTCCTGAATAACTCTCCTGAACTTACCAAACCAGGCTCGAGGAGACTATTTTAGACCATAAAGTGATCGGCGCAAGCGACATACAAGGTCACTAGACTCCCTCTAAGCAACAAAACCAGGTGGTTGCTCCATATAAACTTCATCCTCAAGGTCACCGTAAAGAAAGCATTTTTAATGTCCAACCGATAAAGAGGCCAATGGAGAACAACCACCATGGATATGAAAAGGCGGACGGATACTATTTTAGCCACGGGAGAGAAAGTATCACTGTAATCGAGCCTAAATATCTGAATATATCCTTTGGCAACAAGACGGGCCTTAAGTTTATCAACCTGGCCATCTGGACCAACTTTGACTACATAAACCCCACGACAACCAACAATAGATTTACCTGATAGAACAGGAACAAGCTCCCAAGTATCACTCTTATGTAAAGCAGACATCTCGTCAACCATAGCCTATCTCCGTCCTAGATGAGACAATGCTTCACTTAGGGATGGAAACAGAGGACAAAGAAGATACAAAAACATAATGGTGTGATGACGGACGATGATAACTTAAACCAACATAATGAGGATTAGGATTAAGTGTGGTCCATATACCTTTCCGAAGTGCAATTGGCTGACTAGGAGGAGACAAGTCTGCAGTAGAAGCAAGGTCAGGTGCACGGAGTAAATCAGCTGGGCCTGATGCTGAGCGCGGACGACTAGGCTTGGGATCTAGGAGGAGCAACACTAGATTCCTCAATGGTTAGTATGGGTAAGACTTCAGTGGTTGAGGGTGTAAGAGGACTATAGGTGGTGGAGCTGGAGCTAGAGTTGGGGCTGTAGGTGATGGAGCCGTGGAGGAAGGTGAAGGGGGAAATAGTGACTGAATCTTCAAAAGATAACTAGTAGCACTTCAGAAATGTCTAAGTGACCACCTAGGCCTGTGAAGTATGGCTGAGTTTCAAAGAAGGTAATATAAGCAGACATAAAGCACCGTTGGAGGTCCGGTGAGTAGCATCGATACCCCTTTTTGCGTTCTCGAGTAACCTAGAAATACACACTTAAGAGCACGGGGAGCAACTTATCTTTTCCTGGAGTAGAGTTATGAATAAAACATGTGCTCCCAAAGACACGAGGTGGAAGAGGGAACAAGGGAATGTGAGGAAACAACACAGAGAATGGAACTTGATTCTCGATAGCTGAGGATGGCATAATATTACTAAGATAACAAGATGTGAGAATTGCATCCCCCAAAAACGCAACGGAACATGAGATGGTATGAGTAGGGTACGAGCAGCCTCAATGAGATGCCTATTCTTTCTTTCCGCTACCCCATTTTGTTGAGATGTGTATGGACAAGATGTTTGATGAATGATCCCAGAGTTCATAAACTGCTGCAATGGAAAAGACAAATACTCTGGGGCATTATCACTACGAAATGTGCAAGATAGAAACCCAAATTGATTTTGGATCTCAGTATATAAGGTCTGAACAATAGAAAACTTAGATCGATTTTTCATCAAGAATATCCAAGTGCACCTAGAATAATCATCAATGAAACTAAGAAAGTAGCGGAATCCCAAGGTAGAACTGACCCGACTAGGACCCAAACATCTAAATGGACTAAAGTGAAAGGTGACTCTGCTCGATTATCAGGACGCCGAGGGAAATGAGAGCGAGTATGCTTACCGAACTCATATGACTCACACTTTAGAGTTGACAAGTGAGACAAACCATGCACCATTTTCTGAAGCTTTGATAAACTGGATATCCCAACCGCGAATGTAATAAATCTGGTGAATCGATAATAGAGCAAGTTGTTGATGTGGGTTCATGTGATTTAGCAAGGATAAGGTAATAAAGTCCAATTGATTCGCGCCTGATACCAATGATCCGCCATGTACTGCATTCCTGTATTAAAACAAGGTCATCAAGAAATAAAACAGAACATTTAAGTGATTTGGCTAAGCGACTAACGGCTATGAGATTAAAAGGACTACGAACATAAAAGACCGAATTCAAAGGTAAAGAAGGAAGTGGACTTGCTTGACCTATTCCCATTGCCACGAGACCTATTGGCCATTGTGACCGTTGGAAGAGATTGAGAATAGGAAATAGTAGTGAAAGCAAATTTATTACCAAAAATATGATCAGACGCTCTTGAATCAATAACCCAATTACTGGAAGAAAAAGATTAAGAGACACATGCAATGCAATTACCTGTTTGAACAATAGTAGCAATCTCAGAAGATGTTTGTTTACATTCTTTGCAAGGAAGGAATTCTATATATTCTGATAAAGAAACCATCTGGATTGGATTCAATGCATTGCATCCAACGGATTGTGAGTCAAAGACTTCTGATACGGATGACATTATAATGATTTAAGGCAAATCTCAGTGACCAACTCAAGAATTTGCTGCAAAAGTGTTGCTAGAGAAATAACTCACACAAACAATGAAGAAAAAGACACTATAGGTCGCCGGAAACTAATTAGTCGCCGGAATATGCACTGGTCTTGCTAGAAAGAAAATTGTCGGAATTTGATGAAGCTTGAATGCACAGACTCGGAATACCCTCGTGAGTAATCTATCCAAAAGAATGTTCATCGAATTCACTGCCGTCGGAAAGTCAGTGTAGTTGCCGGAAAAATCTCAAAGTGATTGGAATAAAAAGAAAAAGGTACGGGTAGGCTCAGAAATAGTGGACGATCAAACTTTCCCAAAGGAGCTTTGTCTAAAAATGGCCGAAAAAGGCTGCACCCACCGGCGCGTGAACTCACGCGTGAGGGTGCGTGAAGGGGTTTCTGTCGTAAATGCTGACTGGGGTTTCGTCGCCGGAGCTTTCTGAACCTAATGGTGGTGTTGGTTTTTTTGCTCAACACTCACCAAAAGTGTGTATACGCAGATCAGATCTGAGGAGTCACCGAAAAGACGCACGGTGACTGATCTTTTTTCTGTCCCGAATGTTTCTCACTGCCGCTCTGATACCATGTGAGAAATATCCAGTGTTATTAAAGGCGAAAAGTGCAAAAAAGCTCTAAGGTCTGTTGGGGTTTTAAGCGCAAAGCGCAAATAAAGCGTGGACTTTAATGAAAAAAGGCGCCAATGGAGAAAAACTACAAATATGTATGTGTAGTTCAAGAGTAATATCTATAAGCATAAATACCAAATATATGGGCAAAAAATTGAAGAAAATTAATGATAAAGTGAAAAATCAATTGTTTAGTGTCTGTCTCTTCCGGATTACGCTTGTTAGCAAGGAAAATTATGCCTTAGAGCCTTGATGACAATACTGAAGCGCCCGTACGAGGCGAAGCGCTCAACATGTTTTGAGCCTCGTTTAAAGATTTAAGCGCGCCTTTGATAACACTGGAAATATCGCTCTAGAATTATATTATTGATTTATTAATTATAAAACAATGAGCCATATTTATAACTATACATAATATATCCTACTCCTATTCAATATGGGACTTGGACTAATTACGTATTAACTATATAACTATCTAACACAAACAAATATATGAACTGGTTGTTTGTTATAGTGTTTTGATATAGCCTATAGGATTTCGTTTCTTCTGTGTTTCAACGGTAACATATTCTTCTATGGAGCTAAGGTAAAAAATATGAAATAACCAAGCGTTTCCATGACTCCACCACCCACTGGTGATAAAATCCTTGGACATTCTAGTGGACATTATGTGCTTGTTACACAACAACCCCTTAGAGGAAGAGTCAAACAAGGGGGACAATGAGTAGGAGAAATGGAGGTTTGGGCAATAGAAGCATTTGGGGTTGCTCATATTTTACAAGAGATGCCAAAAATTGAAAACAACCATAAAAGAAGAGAAGGACCGATGCCCTACCAGGGTAAGCATGTAACGCTTCAATTGCAGCTGATATGCTCAGGGGATCAGCACCAAGCATAATTACATGGCCACCTACAAGGTCGTCGTCTCTGTAAAGCTTTGCATATTCTGCAGCTGACTTATCAGATTCAAAATTAGTTACCAGGCTTGTATCTGCCTCCTTAGAATCTTGAAGAGTGGATCCAACAATTTGCTTCACTTTTCCCTAAAAATGAAATTTTCAAGTAAATATCTTCCTAGTATCTTGAGGAATTTAGAAAAATGTAAAAGTTAGCACCTCTCTGAAAACCTTGAAAACTAACTAGAGAAACATAATAGTTTCGTCTCCTCTCTGACTTATCTATTTGATACAACTTCCCAAATGAGATATGCTATTAAATGCTGAATGAATACCAATAGTAATGAACCTTTTCTCTTTTCTTCTTCTTTTTAATCCTTCTATGCAACCAAAACACCAGTTCCATTTAAATTTCTTCATTGACCTGGTAATGGTATATACATATACTCCTTACTGGCAACACTAAACAATGATGTCACTACAAGTCATCTGCTAAGGCATAATAAGAAGGTGGCAAGCTTAAAGAACCCCAATATCATACTCATCTAATATCATAGTCCAACCCATAAATGCAGTGAACTGTTCTTCGAACCTTCTCAAATGCATAATCTCAAGTTACGACTGTCACCGGACCTTGCATAAGTATTCGCAAAACTTTGAAAGGTATACATAGCTCAAACAACGGAAGATGTAAAAAAGAAAAAGAAGAAAAAGACCTTGTGTATGTCAATGCAAGGGCGGAACTGAACCCCACATCGTATGGATAGCCTCTGCGGTCCTGTACAGTTCACAATAGATTCATATTCATATAGCCTATACAACAAAATATGCTATCACATCAGACATACCAGATGGAGGCAATGTCATAGCAGGTCTGAAATCTTGCATTCTGTTAAGAGTATACGGTGCAAGGCTGAGATTCTTCCCCCAAAATAAGTTGTGTAGCGATGAGGCTGAAGTTGCTTCGAGACTTTGCATTGTCAAAGTCAACTTTTCTTCAAATGCCTGTGCAATATGCACTCTAAGTGACTCAATTGAGCTATATACCAACCAAACAATTGCAGATGTATTTGGATATACAAGTATACACATGATGGATGGCCGCATACCGAAGAAATTAGGCGAACCCACTGCCTTTGGCTCGAAGTGTTTAAAAATTATAAAAATACTCTCTTTCCCATTTAATGTGACACACTTTTCTTTTGGTAAAATACATAAGTTAGCCCCCGAACTATGACCCAAATCCCTGTTCACTTTCTAGGAACGAATATTACTTTACACACCCAACCTTTCCAAAGTGTATCTAATACACACTACTTTGCCTACGTGGGTAGTGCGTGTTTTTCCCAACGAATGATTCGCGTGAACACAAGAATTTTCTGTCAAATGTCAATTTTTTTTAGTTTTTTAAAATTTTAAATTGAGTCATCTTCTTCCTTTTTTAAAATTCTGCCATAGCTACTCCTTGAGCTCCACCACCCGATCTCCTTCTTCTCAAATAGACATACCACGATTTCTCATATCTCTTCTCGTTGCAGAGAAGCTTAACTTGAGCTTTACCCATGGCGAAGTCGAATTTTCGGGAAGCGAGAATTTTCCGAAATTTTTTCCAACCATTAAAGCTTAGCTCAAGCTTTTGCACATTCTTTAATTTTATTAATGGATGATTTTTTAAATAGCTGACTTGTGGCGATGGCAGTTAACGGCAGTCGAACTTTTACAGAAGTGAAATGGAAAATGAGTTGAATCTGGGCTCAAAATTTTTGATTCAATTTCAGTGGAAAAGATGGAGTTTTGGGTGTGTTTTCTGGTGATTTTTGTCGGTTAATGGTGGCTTTGTTATTAAGTAAAAGGTGGAGGAAGAGGCTATGGTGTTTGATGATGACAGAGGGGGAAGACGGCCATGGTAGTTTAGATGAGGAAGATGAGGGGTAAAATTGTAATTTTAATTATTTTATTTTTTAAACGACACGTGTCACTGTTTGATTGGTGCATTATATTACACATATTCTGAAAAGCTGGTTAAGAAAAAAGTGGTGTGTCTTAGATACACTTTGGAAAGGTTGGGTGTAAAGTAATATCCGTTCCCAGAAAGTGTGTAACAGGGATTTGGGTCATAGTTCGGGTGGCAACTTATGTATTTTGCCCTTTTCTTTTTAGTCTATCCGAAAAAGAAAAACACCTTTCTCTTTCTGGAAACTATTTGATCTAAGCATTTCCATATTACCTTTAACGACATTACTTGTTTGGAGCTCACCACCACTCATTTAAAATGAAAATACATGTGCAACTCTCACCCCCACTTGTTTAAAAGGTACTTTGCATACATTTGGCTTATATGTCACAAGTATGCTTTAATTTCCTTAACTCCGCGTTCAGTCAAATATCGTCAAATAAAATGAAAATATATGTTTATACCAAGTCTGAACCCATCATCACAAAGAAGAGAAGTAGGTGTAGTGGTACTCTGCACACAGTAAAAATTTTATGGAGTTGCATGCTCATCAAGTATAGACATATAATCTTACAAATGCAGACAAGAGAGAAGTAAATCGAATTCCCAGTGCTCCATAAGAATAACCAAAATATCTTTACATTTCTAATATCAGGGAAAAAAGGGGGGTCCAATTTTTATAGCAAATCAAAGAAATCAAAACTACAAAAGACCCTGCCTTTTTTAGACATAAAACTCAAAAAAACAAAGTAAGTGTGTGTGTGTGTGTGTGTGTGAGAGAGAGAGAGAGAGAGAGAGAGAGCAAGCAAGCAAATCCATGTTCAAACCAATACAATGGATAAAATTCAGCAAAATGGTACTAATACCAAGTCAAATAAAGAACAAAAAGATACAAACTTTTACAGAGAATGGGAACTTAAGCATAAAGTTCAAGATTACTTCCTATTGAGAGCAACAATTTCCAATCTTGCCAATAAAAAGCTATATCACAAGAAAATCTGATACCGCTTATCTCCCGTATACTCAAGAAACTAGGTGTTGAATAGTAAGTCGAGTAAAGGTTGCAGTTGTGCAGGTGGCGGTGTATGCAGAGTCTGATACCGCTTATCTCCCGTATACTCAAGAAACTAGGTGTTGAATAGTAAGTCGAGTAAAGGTTGCAGTTGTGCAGGTGGCGGTGTATGCAGAGTGAGTGAAGAGGTTGGTATCGAGTCAGCTGCAATTTCCCTTTTTTCTTTAAAATGTTGTAATTTTATTACTAATAAAGCAAAGGTTATAGACAAGAGTGGCTACTACAACTTAATTGCAATGATATAAGGTTAGAATCATTGAAAACCAAGTGGGGAGGACGATGCACGAGTCGTGCCTAAGTCGGTCGCGGGTTGACAATCGATAAAAAAACGCATGCAATTTAAGTGCAAAGACCCCCCAAAAGGCCACCCCCCACTCAAGAGACGTTCATCTTGCCAATACAATTAGACTCGCTACTCGCACTTCACAAAACCTATCAAAAATCCCGTTCGTGCAATTTGTCGAACACTTATATGCATAATTGTAAACCTTAAGTTTCTAATTCAAAAGGTATGTGTATGGCCCAGCCAATTTGAGTGAGGTGGTGGGAATTGTAGTTTCGCACCTCACTATGTACAACAACCAATTTTAGAGCAAAATATGCTCCACAATTCAAAAATTCGAACTACTCTACCAACATAAACAAGAACAAGAAAGAGAAAAAAAACTGACTTAAGGGGAGAAGCGGGCAGCTACGTGGGGGTGGGGAGCGAACAGAAGAGACAAAGAGAGAGGGGGGAGTCTTACCAGTGGGGGACGATGGAGAGGAAGGCAGACGCGTAGGGGGGCAGACAAAGAGATCGGGGTTGAGGGGAAAAGGAAAAGAAAAAGAAACAGGGGAAAGGCGTGGGGGCTGGGGTCGGGCAGGGAATTGTTTTGAACGAAGGGGGAAATCAAATGGAATGACCTCGACTGAGAAACAATACATCTGTGACAACAAAACCCGAAAAATAATATCAGCAACGTGAGAGACAGTAAATAAATGGAAAAGCAGTAATACAAATATTATGCAAAAGTGTGAAACACAATATATATATCGCTAGCAGTGCTAGACAAAACACTATCATACTCATCGATACAAAGAGGGAAACCGGGACAAAGAGGAAAACCGCTCAACTACCCTTTAACCTACAACCCTAATGCTCGACCTCCACATCTTCCTATCAAGAGCCATGTCCTCGGAAATCTGGAACCGCGACATGTCCTGTCTGATCACCTCGCCCCAGTACTTCTTGGGCCGCCCTCTACCTCTTCTCGTACCTGTCAAAGCCAATCGCTCACACCTCCTAACCGGGACATCTAGGCTTCTCCTCTGCACGTGTCCGAACCATCTAAGTCGCGCCTCCCGCATCTTGTCGTCCACCGGAGCCACGCCCACCCTCTCCCGAATATCTTCATTCCTAATCTTATCCAGCTTAGTGTGCCCACACATCCATCTCAACATCCTCATTTTTGCTACTTTCATATTCTGGATATGTGAATTCTTGACTGGCCAACACTTAGCCCCATACAATATGGTCGGTCTAACCACCGCTCTATAGAACTTACCTTTGAGTTTCGGTGGCACATTCTTGTCACACAGGACTTGATCACGCCCAACTATGCCTTATAAAAAGGACAATGCGGTCGTTGCAAATATAAGCCGGTTTACAAGTCCGGAGTCGAATCCCACAGAGAACTAGGTTTAGCTACAGCTGTTCACTATCACCAAGAAGACAAGCTTGAATAATTTCTAACTTATAGATATTAAGATTCTTGTGTCTAACTACTTAACTAACAAATTAAAATAGTAAATTAACAACTAACGATACTGAGGGTTAGAGAAAAGATTAAGGAGGTCTAGAGTTATGATTTCCCCTATTGTCGGAATCCTTCCCGCTATGTCTTCTATAATTTCGCCTAAGTATTCTCTACCGATCATGAGCACTCTTATTACTGTAACTCTCTCCCGAGTAATTACGACAATTTACTAGACGCACTCTCCCGAGATACGCTAGCTGGCTTTTAATACAGCTCACTTCAGATCGTACCCAAGGCTTCGTTATCCCTAATCCCGCCTTTAAACCCTCGATTATTGATCCCTCATATACTCTGGGAGTGGTGTTGTTCAACAATTACCTAAAATACACTCTCTCCCGAGTTATGCATACTAAATAGGCACAGCTAATTGAGAGCTCTTCAATCAACCAGAAGATAAACGTAGTTGAACAAATAGAGAAAAGCTATGGCTCAATTATATAAAAACATAACAAGAATTTATCCTACAAAAGGTTCTATCAAAACTCTAGATAACAAATTAGCTATTCATAATAGTATGTAAAACTACAATACTAAAAGTCATAACCAATAATGAAAAATAGGAAGAGGAAGGAAAAACTCGTAGAAGAATTCTCCGCCTTGCTCCCAATGTGTTCTTGCCTCCAAGGGTGTTGTCTAACCCTAAAGTAGTGTCTCTCCGCCTCCTTAGGTCTAATTTGTGTCCAAAATATGTCCTCCTTCTTGTTCTTGGCCGGCCTCCTTTGTTTAATATAGGGCTTAGGACTTAAAATCCCATATTTTGCACTTTAGTCCCTGAAATTTTCGCTTCCTGCCGCGTTCCCACCGCGGTTGCGGTCAAACCGCGGCCAAACATACTCTCTGATTCTTCAGTTGTCCGCGAGTACACTCTGCCGCGGTTCTGCCGCTGTCGCGGTGGAACCGCGATTTTTCACCCTGTTCCGTTTGGAATTTGGAAAAACGTAAAACATGAAAGTTGTAGCCCTTTGAGTTAGCTTTCCAACCATATATTGTGGAGCCAAAATGGAGTTCTGAACAAAAAGTTATGTCTATTTTACTAGACAGTGCGCAATATACCTCCTCAAGTCTTCGTTCGTACTTAATTATCAAATTTGACCCCCGAACACGATCCCGGCTTAATTCCTTGAGCTTTTACTCAGACTTCAAAGCTTCAAATCACTTAAATTCATTCCATAACATCTATATAGCTCGGAATCACACCTACAAGGCATAAAACACACAATTAGTGCAAAACACTAGCGATTAAAGCGCAAACTCAATTAAAGTGCAGTAAATTCGAGTGTAATAAGCGACTAAAATATGCAATTATAGCCTATCATCAGGACTCCAGACGCTAACCTCCATTTCATCCACCCCACCCCACCCCCAATACGGTGCGTAACATCCCCGTCGATCTCCGCATCTCCCTGGATAATTGACCCTAAGTACTTAAAACTTTCTCTCTTGAGGGTGACCTGTGAGTCAAGCCTGACTTCCACATCCGCTTCCCCCGTCATGTCGTTGAACTTACATTCCACATATTGCGTCTTAGTCCTACTCAACTTGAAACCTTTAGACTCCAGGGTCTGCCTCCATACCTCTAGTCTCCCATTAACGTTGCCTCGCGTCTCATCAATCAGAACTATATCATCAGCGAACAACATATACCATGGCACCTCTCCTTGGATATGGTGTGACAGTGTGTCCATTGCCAGGGCAAATAAGAACTGCATGAGCGCAGATCCTTGGTGTAACCCTATAACCACCGAAAAAGGCTCTGAGTCACCTCCCACATTTCTAACCCGAGTCATAGCTCCATCATACATATCCTTTATCTCCCTAATGTAATAAAAAAATTGTACATACCACACTAAATTGCAATAATTGAGTCAACAAGACACGAGTTCTAAAGAGGATAAGGAGAAGCAGACAAGAAAGAAAAAAAAAAAGACATGATAGAAGTAAAATAGAAAAAGAAAAAACACACGGTAGAAATAAAATAGGAAAAAAAGGAGAAAAGATTTGTATTGAAAGATATATATGTTAAATTAATAATAGATTGCTTGGTAAATATAAATTTATGGTAAGAATATTTTTGTTTTAAAAAAAATATTTTTCTACTTCTGCTTCTTGAAAAAAGCAAAAAATTATAACTTCTTACTAACAACAAAGAAACGATTTTTATTTCTGCTAAAAGCAATTTTACGTTGCCAAAATACATTAATATAATTTTCTTTTTTGAGTTCTTAGACTTCAAGAAACATGGCCAAACAAACTAATGGAAGAGTAGATAAGTACCTCTTGCTTAACGTGTATGTTCACTATCATTAAAATCGGAATTTAGAGTACTTTCGTATTCCAACAAAATTTGCATCAGGTAGTTCTAAATTGTGCTTTTGATTTTTATAGTTAGGTCGGAAGAATATTAGGCTTATTTGTTTGCACTTAATTAAGGTTTAAATCTTAATTATTTATATTTAAATAAATAAGTGTATTTATTTTTAGGTCTAAATTTTAAATTATTATAACTTACTCATTAAGTATATTTATTTATTTATAATCATTTAATGGGTTGAAGATATCTGGAAAAAAAGACCTATAGCAAAGTCATAATATTAGTAAGATGTTTTCATTCAAGGACTTATGCAAATATGACATTTCACTTTTACTCCATCCACTTTTATTGCTAGATGGTGCCATCACCGTCCACCAATTAATATGGTAAGTCGTTACCACAATGAGTCACCACCACCATTAGCTATTATTATCTATTACAATTATCAACCGCCACCACTAACTACCACTGTTAAACTCTACTATCAGCTACCATCGCCACTAGCTACTACCCACAACCAACCCCATCAGCCAACAACATCAACCCAAGTTGGCACCCACAACTATCGCCATTAGCCAACACCAATTACTACTTGTTGGGTTGAACTAACCCCAAAATACTCTTAATATGGTGTAATATTGTTCGCTTTAGATTATGCACGTATGTTCTTTTTTCAAAAGGTCTTACACCATAAAAAGATCCTTACGCCTTATATGTAGGCTCTCAATCTTTTTAGCTACCAATGTGGACTTTGTTCACACACCCAATAATTCCCCCCTCCCAAAAAAAAAAAAAAAACTAAGTTGCACATGTCCTATCACCACAATCTACGGGTTTAACTCCCTCGAACTAAATTTTATGTGGCATATACCACGATGTACGAGAGTCAATTTTCGAAATTCACTTCCCATATCGTCAGAGTATTCATGGCAACCGAAGCTCCCTACTAGCTTTTCATTATCTGTACTGTGTGCATCTCTGAGCTTGTAAGAGGAAGTAAACTGTGCCTCACGTTATTACTCCGCCATGGTGTGATATTATCTGCTTTGGACCAAGCCAGCATAATTTTTTACAAAAGGCCCTACACCAGTAAGAATATCTAACACCTTATAAGTAGTTTTTTTTTTCTTTTTACTTTCTATTATAAACTTTATTTGCAGATCCAACACTAGCACTAATCACCATATAATATTGTTTAAAAATTATTAATACAATAATAGATAATTAGTATTCTGTTTGAAATTTATATTTTTTAGGAGTAATTTTTACATAAAAACAAATTTTATGCATTGAGATGTTAAGAAAACAAACATCTTAATTATTTTATATTCTGATTTTAATACCATTTCAATATTCAAACGTCTTAATCATAAAACACATCTAAAAATATCTTAATCTTGACAAAAAGAGAAAAAAATAAGGCCCTAATTTGACGATAGACTCGAAACATGTCATGCTACTATTCATGCTGATATCAATTTTAAGGTGTAACTCTATCTCATTTTAGGTAATTCTCATATCCTTCATATATTGAATTCAACTCAAATAACTCTAACCCTTTACAGCTTGTTTGGATGGTCGTTACCTATTATATCATATCGTATTGTTACTTTTAATATGATATTTGTTTTGGTTGTTACTTAAATTTTATTGTATCGTATCGTTAAATTTGTCGTTACGTAACGACGAAATGTGCCACTTTATGTAACGATCAATTTGGTGTGGTTGCGTCGTTATTTTGTCTTTTTCTCTCATCTCACCCTTCACTA